TGTTCATCTATCTAGTACCCAGGCTGTGAACTACTAAGCATAACACACGTTATAGACTCAGTCTCATGAAGCAAATTCACCCTACGAAATAAAATAGGATGTCTTAGTGACATAGTGTCATTATGTTAGTATTTAGTGGTTCATCTGATAATAAAAAAATGTGCATTTTTAAACTTCAGAAGCTTTATTTTTTAATATAAAAAAAAGTCAACCCCCCCCCAAGTCCATTTTCTATGGAATTCCTAGAATATCAGGATATATTTTCAAGTTTGCTTTTTTTGAACTATAATGTGTCAAGACATTTTTCTTTCCATCCATTTCCCTTTAAAAAAAAAAAAATCTAGTAAAGCAGAGAATCAAACACTGAATTCTCATCACTGGCATTAACACATCTGTATTTGGCTAAAAGCCGAAGAGAGCACAAGAAGTAATGTGGTAATTTACGAAAAGGAACGCAGATTTATTAGAGCTGTCTTGTGAGAAAATGGCTATGATATTTCTACTAGCTGCTTATACCGTATCTTCGGCACTAATTCCAGGCTAATCTCTAGCATCATTATCCACTAGACATTTTTTTCCAAAAGGTCTGAATATATGACCAAAATTTGATGTGTTTCTATACAGTGAAGGATCCCAGTTTTAGAGATAGTGTAATGAAAAAAGAAAGTGAAAAAAACAAATCAGACTTGTTTAGTACCCCATTTTTGTCAGTTTGAAACATGTGAAATAATTTTTATTTTATTTTTTTGCTCCCTGCCTTCCAGTCATTTAAGCCAGGCTGCCCTCCAGTGCAGAGGTGAGAGCTGGCAGATGTTGAAAGGGACTGATCGATCTCTGTAAGCTCCTCGCTATCAGACCTTCAATGTACCAGCCTCGAAACATCACATTTTTTTCTTCAGCCGTTCAGGAAGCAGATCTCAGAGTTCCAGCTCAAAGAAAAGTTACCCCTCCACCACATTTCTTCTGTTTCCTAAGGAAATTTTAATGAGAAGTGGGCTCTTTCTCTACAGTTTCTGCCTCTGAGGCAGCATCTTCTCCCATTTTCCTTGTGCATAAGGGCCGTTATCTTTGTGTCAACCTGCTGACAGTGAAGCACTGCGACTGCTGTCAAGCAAGCAGCATGCCACTTACTCCGCCTGAATAGGTCCCTCTTTGCCTAGTCACACAGAGCTGGTGTAACAGTAAAGCTTGACCCAAGGAACAGCATCAAATTAGCATCCAGGAATGTAAAATCAAACATTAAACTTACAAGAAAATCCATATTCATTCTGGGTTCTCTGCTCAGTTGAAATAGGATAAATGAAACCTTAAAAAGAAAGAAATTAAACAAAAATGGGAACAAAATCAAATTAATGAGGAGAACAAAAAAGGGAAGCATGAAAAATGGTTTAATTAAAAAAAAAAAGAAGGAAAAGAAACTCATGGCACTTTAAAATTCTCATACAGCACAGAATTATGATTTTTGCATCTCCTGTCTCCTCCAGAGCCTTACTAAGAATTAATAAACAGGCAGATTGAATTTCTAAGCCAAAATCGGTCTCGAGTCACTAACTTTGGAGTGCTTAAAGTCTTTCTTTTATTGAGCACAAACTCTAATGGATCTAATTTATTTCAGACATCAAGGGTCATTAGCATATGGAAAGTCTTTTTTCCCTATCCCTGCCATATGCTTTAATTCCCAGGACATGTTCGGTGAGGCTCTAAACAGTTTTTTTATTTAATTATAGTAGCTTGCTGTTGATCTAATAGAGCTAAAGGAGACCTGTCGTCACTGGTCAGAGGTTAAATACCCATTCGCTGAGCAGAGTCCATGCACAAAGCCCTCTCTCTGTATTTCCCTGGAATTATCTTATCCTGTCTTTAATACATGTTCAATAGGAATTCCTCAGGGAACAAAGAATTTGTCAGCAAACGGGAAACTGAGTGGCTTCTCTTCAAAATTATTACAAAATCAATAAGGCCCCCGGGGTCATAACATTATTTATTTGAAATCTTTGCAAGCACTGTATATTGACAAAATCATAACACAATTTACAGCTATATTTTGGAACGGATAAATAAGAGAGATCATTTCCTTTGTCTTTTCTTTCTGCAGCTCCTACAGCACGGCATGCTGGAGCTGCTTAGTTAGCACGAGTCCTGTGAACTCACTAAGCACCTCCCAGCCACTTTCCATCCATATGGGAAACGAATGAAATGCTCCAAGTCCCATCCTGCTGGAAAGGTAAATCACAAACCCAAAGTAAGCGGGGGAGCCGCTGTCAGGGACAGGATTAGAGTTGGTGTAAGACAGAAGGTACCTCTCCTCCATCACCTTCCCTTCAGTGCTTTTGAAGGGAATTTCAACCCTTCCCCTTGGACGCACTGTAAGGAGCTCACACAGCCAGGGACTCCCTGCAGGTGAAACAAAACTGGAAAATGCACTCTTGGCACGTGCCTAATGCACAGGACCACATTACAGGCAGACCGGACTAATAAACCCCAGCTCCCAGAAAGGCTGAGTTTGAGTGCTCGGCATCTGTTGTGCTTTACATAGCTCTCCCTGCTTGGCTGCACTGCTTGCTAATGAAGATACAGTCTTTCCCAGTCGCAGGTATAGACATACCCCCCCACGCTACAGGGGTGGCTTCTGTGAGAAGCTGCTAGAAGCTTCCCCCATGTCCGACAGAGCCAATGCCAGCCGGCTCCAAGAGGGACCCACCGCTGGCCAAGGCTGAGCCCATCAGTGACAGTGGTAGCCCCTCTGGGATAACATATTTAAGAAGGGGAAAAAGTTGCTGTGCAACAGCAAGAGCAGCCAGAGAAAGGAGTGAGAATATGTGAGAGGAACGACTCTGCAGACACCAAGGTCGGTGAAGAAGGAGGGGGAGGAGGTGCTCCAGGTGCCAGAGCAGAGATTCCCCCGCAGCCCATGGTGAAGCCCACGGTGAGGCAGCTGTGCCCCTGCAGCCCATGGAGGTCCATGGTGGAGCAGATATCCACCTGCAGCCCGTGCAGGACCCCACACCAGAGCAGGTGGATGTGCCCAAAGGAGGCTGTGACCCCATGGGAAGCCCGTGCTGGAGCAGGTTCTTGTCAGGACCTGTGGATCCACAGAGAGAGAGGAGCCCATTCTGGAGCAGGTTTGCTGGCAGGACTTGTGACCCCATGGGGGACCCGCGCTGGAGCAGTCTGCTCCTGAAGGACTGCACCCCGTGGAAGGGACCCACGCTGGAGCAGATCATGGTGAAGAAGAACTGTAGCCTGTGGGAAGGACCATGTTGGAGAAGTTCATGGAGGACTGTCTCCCATGGGAGGGACCCCATGCCAGAACAGGGGACGACTGTGAGGAAAAGAATGTGTGATGAACTGACTGCAACCTCCATTCCCCTGTGCCGCTGGAGGGGAGGAGGTAGACAATTCAGGAATAAAGTTGAGCCTGGGAAGAAGGGAGGGGTGGGGGGAAGGTGTTTTAAGATTTAGTTTCTATTTCTCATTACTCTGATTTGATTAGTAATAAATTAAACTAATTTCCCCAAGTTGAGCCTGTTTTGCTCGTGACAGTAATTGGTGAATGACCTCTCCCTGCCCTTATCTCAACCCACGAGCCTTTTGCTGTATTTTTTCTCCCCTGTCCAGCTGAGGAGGGTGAGTGATAGAACAGCTTTGGTGGGCACCTGGTGTCCAACCAGGCTCAACCCACCACACCAGAGCAAGAAGAGCTGCTTTTTGGTGATGGTGCTTTTTCTGAGGCATCATGGGACAGACTATATTGCCTGTAATATATATTTAAAACTTTATTTCACAGCAATGATTCTAGCCTTACAATTGCTTTTAGAAATATTATGGTCTTACATTCATTTATTTGATTCTTTGAGGCAAGTTCACCTATGTGTACTCTCAACATGCATACCCAATCTTTCATAATAACTGCCTTCTACTTCTACTAGCGTACTCCAGGTATTGGCCATAAAAAGTCAAGTGAGAAACTTCTGAGGGCTTGAGTGAGCACTCGGCAAGTCTGGGCATGAATTTACAGTACCCTAGTTACTCCCCACTTACTCCCCAGATGAATGCTGAGGCCCACATTTAGTCAACCTCAATTTCAGCTATAGCCTTATGTCCAATATTTCCTTTGACAAGATGTCTCTGGAGACCAAGAGGTCTTGGTCTCCAGCCAGCAAGAAATACAAGGAACAAGGACAAGGTGGAATTTAAGCTGGCTGCATCTCTGAACGCCTTTTTGCCTCATACTCAAATCCACTGGGAAATCTGAGGACGTCTCTCTGCAATTCATATGCCCCAGCATGTTCTCAGGGGAGCCAGCATGGGGCAGCATGAGTCCCCCGGCTCTGCATCACCCACAGAGCTCGAGCTCACCCGCACAGTCAGAAAGGCTATTCCTCTTTCCTTATGTTGCATTTCAGCTGGCAAGTTTTGCATTCAAGGTTGCGCATCATCCCTGCTACGTCTGAAGCGATCTAGCAACTGCCACTCAACAGGCACAAAGGACTGGATTAGCCGTGATATATTGAAAGTATTCTCTCCTCCCGGGAAAATGGAAATCCAAATTCAAGTCTTTGCTGAAAAGTAAACAAGTGTGGTCCTCAAATACTCTAAATTTACCTCATCACAACCTCTTCACAGACCCTGTTTGTCACAACTTGCATCTTACAAGTTTGCATAGATTATCTTACTGATAACTACAGAGAGCATCCTTGCAGCTACATGAGTGACGCCAATTTCTTCAACAGAAATGTTTTGTGTATGTAATTC